GTAAATGTCTAACTTAATCAACTCACGATCTTGCGTGAACATCTTCCATTGTATTTAATCGGCAACTTTCTTTGCAGCCAAGACGGTTAAGCTTGACTATTTATGGTTAACTCTCTCAACATTTGATGCAGATTTATGCCATCTAGTGAAAGGAATTAGAAATGTTGTTGCATGGAGTGAGAGAGAAAAACCTTACTGCAGTTTTGAGGATACGAAACCAGTTTTAATGCTTCCTATTCTTATCACGCATTATCCTAGTAATGTATATTAGCATGAACATATCGCTGAATATAAACCATTGGTAAACCAATTAAACTTTAAATATTATCAATACCATTCAATCATCAATGCTTTTTAGTTAGAAATTGCGAAGAAAGACTTTCATGTGAGAATGTGTTTATCTTAAACGCCTTATAAAAACACCATGTCAAAAAGGTGTATCGAGCTGTACACATAGACAGTCTGTTTTTTTCGAAGAAAATTCGCCACATATTGTCAATAAATCATAAACTTTTATCGATCATAAATACCATATTCAGATGAGCTGTCTAAATATTATAATCAAACAGAGCTGCTTACTGATGTTTAAACATCGACATTATCGTCCGTATAATATTATTTATACATTGAACTTAACTGATAAATTATCATGGTCTAATGTATATATGTGTATACTTTCATAACCAGGGAGTTTATACGCTAAAATGATAGCCTAACGTATAAATCAGTTTGTAGATTTTCAATGAATTTCTTAACAAAATAATGAATATATTTCTATGTCTATCTTTAAAACATCAAATTTACAACAAGATTTTTGGCACAGGAAATGTTTTGTACTTACATTAACAATTTTAAATACTTAAATATTTTAATAGTTTGGAAAAAGAAGGTAAAGATTCGGCGAGACTGTAATTTATGGACGACGTTTGAGCGATATTGAAGTGACCTTGAAAATATCCACCTACTTACTAGGGCGAAATGAGGATTATAAAGTAGTTTAAAGAATAAGGATTATAATTTATAGATGATGGTTAGGGTAAGGAATTGGATTTAGGGTTTTCATCATGAATCGACATCAGATAAAATGCTAAAACGCTATTTAAACAAATAAGTGAATACATTTTGTGCCAAAATCCAAGACGTATCATCCTAAATCTGATTGGTTCGTCCATAAATTATAGTCTTGCTAAAGATTCAATTTACACTTGATTAAATGTATAATTGAATTCTTACTTCTGACAGCATTGATGTGATATTATCATATAAAAGGTTTTTGTGATTAACATTTATTGTTACTGTCTTAGATATTTGTAAGGTGGTTTGAAAGTTGAAGTTATAGACTAAGAGGCTCTTGTAAGGCGATTTTAGTCATTTGTATTTACCTAGTTCTATTAACTATATTTCAATGGCTCTTGTTAAATTAACTGAATAAATAATGTGCTGTGTTATAATTAGTGTCAAACGATTGTGTGGGGTTGATGTGCTTCGGAACTTCTCCTGAAACCTGTCAGAATTCATCTACAGATAATATCTGTGACAGTGAAAAAACTTGAGTTCTTTCAATGATGTAAAACTATATTGCTAATCTTTCATTTGATAGATATTTATTTTCTGCTTGTCTTACAATAAAGAACAAAGGCTCTTATATTTCTCAAAATAAAGGTTAAAAAAAGTAAAACTATTTATCGCTAAATTGTATGGTTTCACACAATGAGTTAATTTTAAATGTCTATCCTCTAATTTTTTTTCAGCATAAACGGCTCTTTGCTGAGCCTTCATGAATGATTTATGTATGCTTATAAGCTTACTCTCAGACCATTAAATAGAAAATTTTTTGATTAAAAGCCTAGGTTCGAATCCAGTGAGGCGGGATCGTGGATGTGCACTGCTGAGGAGTCCCATACTGGGACGAAACGACCGTCCAGTGCTTCCAGGTTTTCCATGGTAGTCTAGCTTCAATTGACTCATGATTTCAATCTGTGAAATTTTTAAAATCTCCATAAATCCCTTCTGATAACAGCTTATTTAGCAAATTTGATGGCTGTCATTAGAATCATTGAACTTTTAACAAAATTATATGGATAAAACGAATAATTTTTTTTGTATTTTTCACTAGTAATTGTACTGAACGAATGAAGTCAACCAGTGAGATATTTTGTCAATTATGGAAAATCCATTCACATTATTATTTACAGAGTTCAAAAGAGGTATATTAATGGGTTAAACATTCAAGCTTTACTCACTGAAACACTGACTTCATTCTCAAGTTATTTAAATTATTAAACACACATAGAATAACATTTTGAATGTCATAGAAAAGCGTGAGTAACTCACAATGCATAAACCTTTACTTGACTAACTAGTTCAATTGAATGATAAAATTTACTTAAAGTCTGGTTCATTCCTGAAAAGTTTATTATGGATTTATGATTGCTTTTTTTCAACTCTAATGTGATAAAAATATGCGTTCATTACTCTACTATTCTATGAAAATGTATCTTTGAACCAAGATTCTTCCAGACATATAGATTTATTCATACTTTAAAAAGCGTTAAATTACTAAAGGATTATTCTATTTAAGCTCGCAATAATATTTAAGCTAAGATTGCTGAGAGGGTAAATTGATTGGCTGACAACCATTTTCACTGAACAACATTAGTTAACATCAATAATAGCCAGTGTTCAGCACCTGCTTCATTCATTATGAGACTTGTTAATAATGTACTTCGTTTTAAACTCAATGAATTAGGAAATATTGGATTCCATCTCAGTGGTATACTAATTACACTTTTCATATCAGATTGAAAATTTTTTGATTTCGATTCCCGGTTTGGTCATGTATGACCAGTAATATCGAGCCTCATAATAGTACCTAAACTGTCATCAATCTCTGATAAAAGGCATTTAAAGCTAATATATTTCTTGATTCAGTGATTTTGTAGTTAATTTCTGTTATTACTTTGCAACATAATTCATTTTGTATATAGACTTTTTTAATATATATTTGTAAGCATGATCGCTTTGCGAATAAATACACATTGAGATAATGAAGTCGATCGACTAAATAGGTCGCATACATAATCAACAGGTGACTGAATACAGAATTTATTCGGCGGCTAAACTTTTAATTCGCTATAAAACAACATGTTCATTAACTCAATCAAAAATCCACAAGCACCCCTTTCATGTTACCGCGAACTGTATTTATAAATTTACGTGTACCTGCCAAAGCAACTACATTGACCGAACTGAAAGGAGGGTATATCTTAGATTTTTTGAACATGTTCCAAAAAGTCTCAGAACGAGGGAAAGAAAGACTAAACAGTGCAATCATTAAACATCACTTTGATACAGGACATCAAGTAGATAACTTGCAATCCTTAAAGGTGATTAGTAAGCAGCCAAACTCCTGTTTTCTGGAGTTTGTTGAAGCCGTTGTCATCAGGTATCAAAAACCTGACTTATGTGTTCAAAAGAAGATGGTCATTAATCTTTCCTTGCCTTGGTGACAAATACTCTTTCGCTGTATTGAAATTTTTTCCTTTTTCTCGAAACTCTTCCTTGCATTTATTACATCATTGAGTTTTATTCCAACTATCTTCCAAATAAATAATCGTATTTTATCAAATGAGCTCTACTCACTATATTCCTATCAATATTTATTAATTATGTAATCAATTATTTCTAGCCGTTTGAACTGTTATCACAATCAATGTTGTAGAATGTTCCTTCATACAAGGTATATATTTACAATATTCAGTCTATTAAGTTTATTTACGCCCTTGCTATACTATACGAATATGTCTTCAATATAACTTCCAACCAAACCTCTCATGTAAGTAATTTAAACCCATTATGTAATTATGATCTTACATATCGCAGGTTGTAAGCAGTTGACGAGAACCTACGAAATAGAAATGAATTCATGCTATTCTGCTGGAATGTTTGTTCTTGCTCTTTTCAAAATGATAAAGGAAATTATGTGAATGTAATAAATAAGTTTATTCATATCAATTTACATCATGTATTAAAATACAATCTAATATAACTGTGTAGTTCAATAACCATCAATTCGAAATCGAACATCATTATGAAATGATTAACAGTAATCAAGATTAGTTTGACAGCACTTGAATAATTCCTTTTACTTTCTTTATATTAATATCACATCATGAGTATTGATTAAAACTTAAATGGAAAAGAATGTTTAAGAAATAACTATTCAAGAAATGTAACTTATTTTATGTAACTCATATCATTGATAATTCAATTTTGGCATATTTAGTATTCGTATACATATAAATTGACATTTTTCATGGAAAGATTTCAGAAGAAAAATTCTTTTTTGATGGTATCATTTTTTGAATTATTGAGTATAGTAATTTATAAATGAAAAAGTGTTATTTTAACGAAGGCGCACTGCTGAGGAGCCCCACAATAGGACGAAACGGCCGTCCAGTGCTTCCAGGTTTTCTATGGTGATCTAGCTTCAAATGACTCATGATTTCAACCAGTATAATATGAAGTTGAAATTACTAAAATTTCTACAAAACCCATTGTGATGCAATATTTAGACATCAGAATTTTTATTCGCTATACAAACTAGTTTGCATGCATAAACCCACATTATTAAACATTGGATTTATCTGTTCTAAACTGTTTTCTTTATGACAAGAGGAACCATATGTAACAGAGACACTGGAGTCAGTTTCATTAAGCAAAACTGTTTCGTAAACATTCATTGAATTTTTTTTTAAAGAAAATAGTTTTGTGATAAAGAGTTTCTGATGTGTTAATAGTTCATTTGTTTTGGAACGTTTTACCTTTGTTTTTCCATGAATCTGACTACCCCTACAACGGTAATTACCATGTCTTTTGATTACTAATTTTATGTAGGTAAGTGTAATTATTTATTATAGAAAAAAAGTATTCTAACCACGACTTACAACACCATTAGATTACTTATCATGATGCTTTAACTCATTGCTTTTACTTTATAGTATGTCTTTCCTGTGATATCCTACAACAATGTGAACAGATAGTATGCAATAATGTATTAATAAATGGAACATTTATCCCAGAATATGTCATTGGATGTGAACTAGCTTGCCCTTTTGGAAACATATCCTGTCAAAAAGATAATAATGGTGCATTTACTTGGCTACCAGAAGATCCATGTTTACCTGAAATTAGTACAACAACTTCAGAACCAAATATTTCACTGACAACAATAACTATCTTTCCGTTTCACACTGACACACCACAAATTAACACTACTACTGATCTAGGTGTCTTAAATACAACCATATTTGAAATAAATCAAACGGATTGTCATTATGTGAGCACAGAATCGCCGAATAATATTACTGAAGATATAAACTATTCAAAAGGATGGACATTATTCTGGCTTATTCCATTGATACTTATTATCATGATTTTTTTATTGTTACTCTTATGTTTGGTTTTAAATCATTTTCAAAAGCGTAAACATCGAGTAGAATTCCCACTGTCTGAAAAACATATTTTTGATATGATTGACCCTTCTACATCTTCTTGGGGACATTATTCCTATCCCTATAAATCAGGAACTCCAATTGGACAAAATGGGTATTATCGTCAAAATAGAAACACTATTTATGAAGCATATGATTCACCAAACAAAACAGATAGAATTCTTACTAATTTACAAAAACTATCATCACCTAAGTATAATAAGTTGAAATTCATTAACAGAAAAACAATATCACCATGTCCGAATAGAAAACTTATAAATTGGCAAGAATCAGGTACATATGAATATGCTATTCCACCAAGTCCGAAATCTGCTTCTTCAATGAATATTAATAAAACACCACCGAATTATTCTCCAAAAAAAGAAAGAAATTATTCACAAATTTCATACAATTTAAATAAATCTACATCACAAATTTTCTCAGGAACTCCAACTATTAGTATAAGATACCCAGAAGAAATGAGATCAGTTAGTCAATGTAATATGTTAAATCCTCAAAAATCAAATGTACATGATACATCACCTGATTATTATATTCAAGATGGTCGAACTACAACGACTTTCAATCGTCATGTTAATCATTTACATAGACCAAAATTATCTGATGATGATAATCAAATTTATCAAACAGAAGCATTAATCAACTGTGGTGACGATGATAATGAATTCAGTAATGAGGATACATTTGATCAAATCTCATCAATTACAATGCAACCAACTATTGTACAACAACCAATTTCAAATTTATCTCCTAATCAATCTTTTAATGCATTTATCGATTGTGAAGATCAACAACAAATGGAACAATTAGGTATGTATGATTCACAATATAATGATTGGACATTAGATAAAACAACTATTGCACGAATACCTCGTATTTAAAACATTGAAAGCTTTTAGATTTCATTATTTTTAACTGTACTTTTCTTTTTGATATTTCCTTATATGACGACTAAAATATGTCTGTTGAACGGATCAAAGTAATGAAGCAAATAAACATTTACTTTTCATCCTCTTCTTCGATTATTTAATTAATTTATGAATATTTTGTGAGCAGATACACCAATGGACAATGATCCATATGGAAACAAAAAAAAATCAGTAACAATTTATGTATATTGATCATTTAGGTAAGGATTTTTCTGTTTTTCCCTCAACATCCCCCCCATTTTTATTACATTTAAAGAATCTCTGGTGGTGGGGGACGTTGTCATTTGTTTGATTTCTTTGGTATTTTGATACTCAACCCAAAGGTTCTAACTTATACATATATATATGTACACTGATTATCTTTACTTCTCAAGGAAAAGTCCTTATATTCGAATAAATGATAAGTTGAATAAACAATTATTCATAGACTGATTTTTATTCTAGATTATTTTTTTTATCACGAATTAATTAGATGGAATTTCTTAGTAAATGAACTACAATACCCCATGTATTAACTACTGCTTATAAAACTCTATATGGTTATGTATTTATCAATAACAATGTTTTTTATTGGATATGTACTTGAATGATCGACTGTTTCTTATAGAATCAGTTGGATTGTTGAGTTCGTTTATTGTTTTGTGAATCAGTGACTTCTTTATCAAATGACTTAGTGATCGTAAATAATTACTGTATAATAGCAAGATCTTTTTGGGTCGAAAGCTGTTTTCAATTAGTAGGCGAAAATATAAAACAGACTAGTTCTCTTTTGTACTCTATAAATCTGTGACTAGAAATCTCATACCATAATATATCTCAAATGTTTGACAACATAGAAACAGAAATTTTGAAATGACAATTACATGACTATTCCATAAGTGTAAGGAACTGGGTAATATGTCTGTAATTGATTAACAATACATTAGGTAGCGTAAAATTTACTACAATATCTTACTTGATAACTTGAATTTTACAATGAGAAATAATATAAAATACAATAATTCTAATGTTAAATAAACTTTCTCAAATCATTCCTAAAATGGTACGAATCACAAATTTTGTAGTTAACCGTTGTCGACATTCAAGCGTGAATTGTTCAGTTTCATTTTGGAATCTTGGAGTAGACGTATCTAGATTTTAAGTAGATAACTACTGATTAGCATTTTTTAGTAAGGTTCTTTTATGTGAAATATGGTTGCTTAACCCGTACTCAGCTGTCCTCCTTTATTGAGGCTTGGACTGGTAGTGACCCTAAGAAAGCTAGAGGTGGAGTTATTTCTGGTGGTTACAATTTGATTATTTTCTGGAAATCGATGGGCAATGGGATCTAGTACGTGATTTTCGTTTTAACAAAGATGCATGAGATAATATACTATTATTGCTCAAACCGAGACCTAAACACAAAACTTTGTTTTTTAATGGCGAAGTATTATTCACTACGTTATTGAGTTATAACGGAGAAAGCCTTGTTCTGCTGACGGGATATTATCATTGATTTATATAAAATGGTTTACACTTTGTTGTTGTGATGCATGTGTGTTCAGTTCATGGCTCTCAGAACTTAATACTGGTCACTATTCAAAGTGTATTCAGAACTTTATGTTGTAGTGTTTGATGTATAGACTAAACAAAACCTAGCAAACACGACAACAATTCTCAATTTTTCATCATGAGTAAACTAACGTTTGGATTATTTTAGTAAATAATAGACTACAGAATAGAAATTGCATAAATTCAGAGCAATTTAGAACCTAACTCTTGAAAAGATGTTGCAATCACTAGTGGGTATAAAATATGTAGTTCATTACTTACCTATGCCTGTTACCATTCGTGAAGGAGCATAGGCCACACACCACTATTCTCCATCCAACTCTGTCCTGGACAATCCTTTCCAGTTGCTATTCATCCTTTTCATATCTGCTTCCAATTCCTGACGTAATGTGTTGTTTGGCCTCCCCATTTCCCGCTTCCCTTCAGAATTCCACGTTGGCGCTTGCCTCGTGATGCAGTTTGGTGATATGCGTAATGTATGTCCTATCCACTTCCAACGTCTTTTCCTGATTTCCTCTTCAGCTCTATGCTAGTTTGTTCTCACCCACAGTAGGTTGTTGCTGATGGTATCCGGCCAACGGACATTCGGTATCTTGTGTAAACAACTGTTTGTAAATACTTGTACCTTCGTGATGATGGTTGTGGCAGTTCCTTAAGTTTCAGCTCCGTATAGTAGAACTGTCTTGACGTTCGTATTGAAGATTCTGACTTTGATATTTGTTGACAGTTGTTTTCAGTTCCATATATTTTTCAATTGAAGAAATGCTGTCCTTGCTTTGCCAGTGCTCGCCTTTACGTCTGCATCTGAACCCCCCTGTTTATCAATTATGCTGACCAGGTACGTGGAAGACCCCACATCTTCCAGAGCTTCTCCATCAAGTGTGATTAGGCTGGTTATCACTGTGTTCTATTTGAGGATCCGGCTTTATTCTTGTATATGTTCAGGCCTACTTCTGCAGAGGCTGCAACACTAGTCATCTTCATCTGCATCTGTTCGTCTGTATGGGATAGGTCATCAGCGATGTCCCAAACGTCTAGTTGCATCGAAGTCGTTCATTATTTACCGTGCTTCCCGTCAGTTGTGGAGGTCTCCATATTTCAGTCAACAACCATAAAAAACCGGAAGGTGGAAAGTGGATTGCTTTGTCTGGTCCTGGTTTTTACTTGGAATGGATCTGTCAGCTGTCGTCCATGCACGACTTTGCATTGTAGTCCATCGTACTAATTCCTGTTGATGTTGATGATAGTTTTAGGTACGCCATAGTGTCAAAGAATTTTCCTTCTGGTTTTGCAATCCACACCGTCAAATGCCTTCTCATTAGTGAAGGAGGTTGATGTATAGTGACGATTTCCATTCAATTGAATGTTTAACGATGATTCGTAGTGTGGCGATTTGGACTGTGCACGGCCGAGCCTTACGGAGTCCGGATTTTGAAATTGGGCGTTTATTGTTATATCTTGTGTTGTTGTGTCCTATTAGTACATACCATAATGATACCGCTGATTAGAGAACAGTGATTTATCGATCAGAGCATAAAACCTGTACGAGCAGTCCAAAGTCTCTGCTTGTCAGCTCTAATACTACTCTTTACTTGCTTTTTTGCTACTGTGTGTTCAGCTGTTGTTAATTACCGACTTCTTGTTCTTCCTTTCTTTGACACTGTCCAGTGTTTCTATAGAGATCCATTCCTTGGGATGATGCTGCCTGCGGTCCAGAACCTTCTGATACATTGAAGTTAGTGCTTCTTTGATCTCTTTCCAGCCGTCCTCCATAGTAGTTTCTTCTTCTTTCCGTAGATCCTGCCGTTCAGAGCCATCTTGGACCCGTTGAATTTGTTAGTATCTCGAAGAAAGGCTGTATTGAACCTTTGTAGTTCTGTTTGTCCAGTTGTTCAGTTCTTTAGCTTCCGTTTCATCTCGGCCATGATCAGGTGGTGATCTGAAGCTATATCAGCTGCTCCCTTGGTTCTCACGTCTTTTGTTGACGTTGTGAATTTTTTAATGATGTAAATATGATTTATCTGGCTCTGTGTAGCCTAATCCAGTGAGATCCATGTAGCTTTGTGTGAACGTTTGCGTGGGAATATTGTTCAATTTATATCTAATTTATTGAATGCACATAGATTCGCAAATCTCTCGCCATTCTCGCTCCTTTCTCCCAGTCAGTTCATGTCGTACTATGCTATCCTCATATCTAGTGTTGTCCATTTCGAATTTGGCATTTAGATCTACATGATAGTCAGGTCCTTATCTGGACACTTCGCAATGATCGATTGCAACCTCTCATTAAACTGATCTTTATTGTCGTCATTGCTATCATTGATTGGTGCATAACATTGGATACAATTCATTGTAATTCCCTCTAACTTTGTTTTGAATGTTGCCTTGGTGATCCTGGATCCATAATATTCCCATCCTATAAGTGCGTTACGTGCTTCTTTGGACAGAATCAGAGTAGCTTCCTGTGTGTGCGGAGCATTTTCTTCTGCGTGAACGGAGTACTGAACATCTCTCCCGTTCATAGCCTTTTCTGTCCAGCTAGGATCCAATGAGTTTTGTTGATTCCGAAAACCGCCATGTTATACCTTCTCATTTCTGTTGCTTTTCAAACAGACCGCCCGGTCTCCCACATTGTCTGGACGTTCCGTGTACCTATAAAAATTGTTGCTCTGGTTGTTAGAAGGGGCATTGGCCTTGTGAGTTTTGAAGAATCTTGGCTTTCATAATGAGACGTCATAATTCTTCCCTCAACTTGAAGGACAGAGTCTGAGTAGTATAATTTGTTTAATCTGGTTAGCGTTTCTTAGCACGTTTTTGTACGGGATGAGGTTGCCGATCCCATACTTGACCCTCCTCCTCTGTGTGCGCTTGGGGCCGGCAATAATTCCAGAAGGGCTATATGATTTTGAAATTGTTCTAAAATAATAAAAACTAATGGTCTAATCTGGATAACAGAGTAAATTTACCACAAATTTACTTTAACCCTTTTATATTTCAATCTTGCATTAATGCTCCGTACTATTTTTTGAAATAGTTGGAGGTTTAAGTAAATAAAAAACAAAGGACCAAATGGATCAATGATTACTTAGGCCTGTTCCTCCTCGTGGAGCAAAGTACTATTCACTATGCTGTTTGCGTCTAATTCCCGACCCAATGTTTTCTTTGCTCAGCATCTTTCCCTTTCGGGATTTCAAGTTAAGGCTTGCCACATGATGCCGTTTGATGATTTCCGAAATGTATATCCTACCTATCTCCAGCGTCTTTTCCTGATTTTCTCATCAGCTGTAAGTTAATTTATTTTCTCCCACAGTAGGTTTTTGTTGATGGTGT